TCCAATCCCTAATGTTCTGTGATTTTGTGATGTACAGTTTATTGCAAGCTGGCATACTGGGGAAGCAAACTAAGAAATTAGTGAGAAATATTATCAAGTCCTCTCTTTCAGAGAGGAGAAACTGAGGCTCCTCACCTGCAGGACGTGGGGGTTAATACCCAGGGTTGAGGCGATGTGAGTCGAAGCAGGCACTGCCTCCGGCTCTTCCATCAAGTTATCCTCCACGACGGCCTCGTGGGGAGGCTCCTGGGTGATGTCTGCCATATCGCTGTCCAGTTCCACCACTCTGCCCGGCTGCTCCACCTCGGGGGTCTGCAGACACACCAGAGGCCGTGTCAGACAATGAGACAGATCACAACAGTTTGCAGAAAAAGCATTTAATAGTTTCAACGATCACCTGCAAACGAAGCGGAGTACTCCCCTGCTTGTGCCAAGACTCCACATTAAGTTCAGGGATGAACACATACAACCTATTCCCGTTTTCTTCAGAGTTGTAACGTAACAGCACAGGTTACAGTGAAGCAGAAGTCACAGTTCAGTGATGTCCTCCTGAAGTTTACCAAGCTCTGCCATCAGTTTAAGAAGCCGTTCTTCAGCTTCCTGTTTTTCATGTGACTAACTAAAAGGAAGAGTTTTGGGCACCCTGCCTTCTTCCCCTTCTCCCTCAAAATGCTGTCACACACAGAGAAGCTTCCTCTACCCAAGTTCAACCTGGAACACTTTCGATGGCCAAGCAACGATTTAAAAGCCGTGATTCTCCAGCAGTGACACGTGGTACCGCTGCTGGCGATGAGCACACGAGTCACTGTTACACCGCTTTGTTCTCCTTTTGTGACGTTGTACAAACTGAAAATACTGAGTTTATCTTCCACAACGAACCTGACAGAAGTTGCAAGTGGACAAGAGTCCCTTCGAGACAGGGTAAGGCTGGGTCACAGACCGCGTGTGCACACATGTGTGAAATCTTTTTTAAAACATTTAAGCCAGGACAGAACTGTCATTGGACTGGATGATTAAGGGAGTGGAGCATCTCCCTTCTGAGGAGCGGCTGAGGGAGCTGGGGCTCTTTAGTTTGCAGAAGAGGAGACTGAGGGGAGACCTCATTCATGGTTATAAATATTTAAAGGGTGAGTGTCATGAGGATGGAGCCAGGCTCTTCTCGGTGACAAACAATGATAGGACAAGGGGTAACGGACACAAACTGGAACACAGGAGGTTCCACTTCAATTGGAGAAGAAACTTCTTCTCAGTGAGGGTGACAGAGCACTGGACCAGGCTGCCCAGAGAGGTTGTGGAGTCTCCTTCTCTGCAGACATTCAAAACCCGCCTGGACGCCTTCCTGTGCAACCTCATCTGGGTGTTCCTGCTCCGGCAGGGGGATTGGACTGGATGAGCTTTGGAGGTCCCTTCCAATCCCTAACGGTCTGGGATTCTGTGACTGGAAAGCTGTGGGTTTTTTCCAACTATACTCAACTTATTGATAGCACATTAGCAGTTAAAAAGTTAAATACAGTAATTATCTTTTAATCCGCAGCTAAATTTCTCATCTCCACTGCTAGTCCAAGGCAGGAGGAAGAATTAGTCTTATTTTTCTGAAGGCAATCATACAGGATCACCTTTGTGACAAGCCTGGTGACCTCTACAGACCTCCAACTGCTCAGGACAACCCAGACTCACACTCCAGGCTGGGCAGGAAAACCTTCAGACAGCACAACAAGCCCAGGAGCAATCAGCCTGCGCCTCGTTCGCTGAGCGGCCTTCAGGTCCTAACCAGGCGACCCTCTGGCTCCTGACAGGCTCTAACCCCAGTCCTGGGCTCCGCTGCACTGGTGCTGCTCCAATCTGACCACTCCTGCTGCATGTCCTGTGGCAGACCCACGCTCCCAGCTCACTCGGGCTCCACAAGCAAGGAGGAGGCAGCTGAAGCAGCGCTTTGGAGCCATGTGTATGTATGAGCAAGGAAACCGCGGCAGATCGTGCGCTGGAAATCATGCTAAGGAACCGAAGAGCGTATTCATGTGGCTGCTTCTAAGCTCATTAGAATCAGCCAAGAAACACGATGAAGGTTATCAGATGAGGCAGATTAATTAGACCAGGGGGCCTGTAAAGATAGAGCTTAACAGCAGACATGGAAAGAGCCTTAGCTAGCAGTATCCGAGCACGCCTACGGCATGGGGAACAGATTTACAAGTCAAAATATGGTTACAAACAAAAGTTTCACTGCTTCCTTCATTGTGTTTTAATGCAGCCAGGTCCATGGTGTAACTCTGTCCTGTGGACCTTGGAATATTAACAAATTCATTCATAGTCAAGCTAGCGAGGAAAGAAAAAAACCTCAAGTTTAGATCCTAAATGCTTCCTACAGAAAATAATTGGTTTTGCCCTGATGTTTTACACACCAAGAGTTTGGCAAGTTTTAAAGCCATGCTACGAGCTTCTCTGAGGTTTGGGAAGCAAAGCTGGATGTTTTTCCTGTTTTCAGAAACAAAAACCTTAGCTAATGGTATGCAACTCAAAATACATTAATTAACCCAGACAAGGTTTTGCCAAGTACATTTGAAACTCTAAGACATGAATAAATCACACCTATTCCCAATACTTTGGACTGCTTAAAACATCAGCTCGGGTCCCCATTAACCTGAACAAGAAGGGAAACGGAAAGGTGGTAGACACAGGCAAGTCTGCTAGAGAGCCACGTGTCCATCTCAACTAAAACGCAATTACTTAAGGGGTCTACCTAACAAGAGCAGGGTTTGATTACCAGGGAGCTGGGAAGAGCGACAGAGCAGGAGCTGGACCCTGCTCTGAGATTCTCCAGAGCAGAACCCGTAGAAGAGGCAGCAGCTCATTGGAGCTGGCACTGCAGCAGGTGTTCTGCTCAAAGAGCAGACTGTGCTGCTCCTGGCACTCTGCTTTCATGGCCACCAGGACTCCTGCCACTGGGAGCCCGGAACGCGCCAGCGCTGGCTGTCCTGAAGGCATCCAGGTGACCTGCTGCCACCCAGCCTTGGCTTTGGGCCCCTCTATCCTGCACGGAGACCTACAGCGGCAGATACCATTGAATCACAGAACGGTTTGGGTCGGAGGGAACCTCAAAGATCATCCAGGCCAACCTGCTGTTGGAACGGCTCAGGTGTTTCTGCAGAGGACACACTGTAAAATTAAAAGCAATTCCCACTTGATTTAATGCTTTCCTAGCACAGAAGCAACGAAATTGTTTGCACAAGCAGTGATGAATTGTGATTCCTTCCGTTTCCTGACACCACGAGTACACCCTTGTCCAAAAAGGGCTCTAAGGTACCCAAAGCCATTGGCCAACGAAGGGAACTGCTGTTAGGACATCAACTTGCTTCAAAAGGACTAGACCCAGTACAAAGGAGAAAAAAAGAAGTGTTCAACCCATTTTCCTCTCAAGCTGTTTGCCACCCTCTGACTTCAGAGCTGCAGCAATAACGCTGCCCTCCTCTGCTTCCCTGCGAGACGACACACCACGCAGGCTGGCCGCACGCCATCCACGCCTCCACAGGCTGCGAGCGCCCAGCGCCTTTCCCTGCAGTCACCAACTGCTGAAGGGGGAAACAGAAACCCCTCAGCGAGTCTGACCCCGCTGCTGAATACCCTTGTGCAGCTCCTGCAGGCCCCAGCTGCTGAGCTGTGATTTTTACAACCAGGCAATCCAGAACCCAGTTCTGGGAAAAACTAATAGATACGTGCTCTGCACTCGCTTTTCTCTTATGACAAGTGTTTCCAAAAAGCTACAGGTAGAGTTAGCACGCATTTAAAATTCACACCTGGCACACAGAATATATTCTACCCCAGCAATGGCACAGTGCCTTCCAAACCAGCTGGTTCTTCCCCTGCTGTGATGCAGCTCCTGGTGTAGCTTGACAGTACCCACACTAATTACACTGGGAAGATGCAATCAGAGTAACCCTTTAAACCTACGTAAAAGGATTTTTTTTAAAAATGAAATCATCATTAGTCCTTAAGGGGTTGCCAATGAACAGGGAAAAAATGTGTAAGACACCTTTCCTGTGTAGGACAGAGGCCGCCACCGAGGATGTTTGACAGAGCTTTAAATCACATCCAACCCAAGTGCACTTAAAAATCCAGCATACAACCAGCCTTGAAAAGTAATTTTTAATAGAAATAGAGCACAGTCTGAAAACGTAAAGCATACAGTCTTGCACACTAAATGCTGGGCAAGTCAGATTAATGCACAGTACCATGCTCAAGGCAGGCAGCACACATAATAATTATGTAGCATATATTCAATATTTACAAAACCAAGTTTTCTTCTGTAAGTGGTGCAAATACACCAAACTCGACCTAGATCAGAATTCAAACAGGAAACAAGGGTTTAAAGCCTTCCCATCCCCACACCCCCTCAGTACGGAACGTTGAGTATCTTAAAGAACATGCAAACACTCGTCAAGAGGTCAGAAGAGCTACTGAGTTTGCACGTTTGCGCAAGAAGTTTTGCTCCTTGGTTTCCAGGCTACTTGTTACTCCAACAACCCCTCCCCAGGCACCAGCTACTCTTCAAATTTAATGTTATGAACTCCCTTTTAGGCACTGTCCTCCTCCTACCTGGGCTGGAGGTGATGGCTTGCCATTCAGGGCCATTTGCTGGGGCGGCAGATGTCCTGGGGGCAGCACAGGGGTGGTTTTTAACTTCTTCGTGTCCACTTTTGAAGGATGCTCTTCCTCTTCCTCATCCGAATCTTGCAAGCCGTACTTGGAAAAGTGTGCCACCTGCGTGTGAGAAGGGAAAATACATCAAACCTTCGAAGAAACATTTCAGGCAGCCACTTCCAAAGGCCTGAGCAACAAACTGGCATAACTGTCCACCCTGCACAGCAGCTGTGACACCTGGAGCAAACGCAGCTTCGCACAGACCACGAACATCTGCTGCACGCAGGTCTAAAGCCAAAGCAGCTCTGATCAGCTTGGTGAGGGCAGCTGCACTGCAGCGGAAGGACTCGAGACAGTTGACAGAAGTCTAGCGAGGTTTTTGAACTGTAAGTTCTCAGGAGGTTCTAAGTTCAGACTACTGACAATATTCCTCTAAGTCACGTTACAACTAGACCAAGCAAGTTACCTTGAACACCCAGGATCCTGTCTCTGGGCGATATTCCTTGAATTGAGCACCCTGCTTCCGGGACACAGACTCCAGTCTGCCTTCGTAATTCATCTCTGCCAGTCGGTCAGGGCTTTTGATCAGGCAACGGGATGTTTTGTCTGTAGGCCAGACTCCATCTAAGGTAACTTCAGCTCGTCTGTTACAGACAGACAGAAGTGTAAGAGACTACAAGATTTTTCAGGCAAAGCTATTAAAGCACACATACAGAAGCTAAGATTTGAACCTATGAGCTCAAGCCAGCTTTTACACCCAATTTCATAAAGCTGCAATCCAAACGCACACCTCTGAATCAGATTTCTCGGTAGCTGCCTGCAAACACAGCAGGTTGTCAATATTATAAAAAACATCCTTACTAGGCACTGTCCCCACACAGCACGTGTTTTAGATTTACCTGTTTAAACCTTCACCAACAGGTGGTTTTCTGTCATCGTCAGGGTAAACAATAACTTCTTTTCTACGGATGTGCACAATGTCATCCAGGTTTAAGTTAGTCAGATTCACTTCTCCTTCAAAGTAAATTGATCCATAACCTGCGAAACAAACCAAATTTGGAAAGGGCAGTGTCAGGAGGAAGGAGCCAGGCTCTGCTCTGGGATGGCCAATGCCAGCACAAGGGGCAATGGTCCCAAGCTGGAGCACAGGAGGTTCAAGCTGAAGATGAGGACAAACTTTGTGAGTGTGAGGGTTCTGGAGCATGGCCCAGGCTGCCCAGAGAGGTTGTGGAGTCTCCTTGTGTGGAGACACCCAAAGCCCTGGCCGTGTTCCTGTGTGACTGCTCTGGTGATCCTGCTCTGGCAGGGGTTGGGCTGGGTGATCTCCAGAGATCCCTTCCAACTCCTGACATTCTGTGACTCCGTGATCACAATTTGTCCATGAAAACTCTCCCGTCAGAGAACCTCCCTTCCCCACCTACCCCTGGCTCTGTTGTGTCCCAGAACAAAGCACAAGCGACAACTCCTTCCAGTGTGAAAACACTGCAGGTGCGTTATCAACTCCTTAGAGCCAACTGCTTTGCACAGTAAGCTTTTTGTTAGAACTTGGCTATTCATACTGCCAACACAAGTACCACCTGTACCCTCAGCTCCATAGCATATTTAGAGAAAGCGTTTTAAAAAATAGCAGACATCGTGTGATTATTTTTCTTAGTAAAAGCAGTAAAGGGTACCACTTGGGCTGAAGGTTCTTCACCAGAGCTCAGGCAGCTCCGGTGTAGACAGCAACTAAGATGGAAGCAACGCCAATCAGGTTTGCATCGCTTTGGATTTTACAACGTTTTCGTTCAGGAGCAGCAAGCATCCTGAAAGCCGCAGGTGCTTCTGCTCTTTTCATATTCAAGCTTCTCAAGTCAGCCCCTGCACAGGTTGTTAGTGCAACCAATCCGAAATACGACAAGTCTTTGACGGAAGTGTTCCCAACACAAGGGCACTGTTTATAACCCTACTGGGGCCATGCAACTCCGATTCAGTTTTCATAGCTCTAAAACTGACTTTAAGCGACAAGAAAAGCTGTGCACGTCACCTTTGCGGCCTATGGTGAAGTCTGTCACGATACACTCGTTTCTGTCGTTGGTGCATCTAGCCAGCTCCTCCATGGAGGGGATGGTGTAGTAGCCAGCTCTTGTTAGCACGATTCCTACAACAGAAAAGGTGCTGAGAGCCAGGCTGACAGCGAGCTCCCAGCTTCAGCATCTCAAGAGTTTGGTGAGGGCTCTGGAGAACAAGCCTGATGAGGAGCGGCTGAGGGAACTGGGCTTGTTTAGCCTGAAGAAGAGAAGGCTGAGGGGAGACCTCATCACCACCTACAACTGCCTCAAGGGAGGGTGTAGAGAGGTGGGTGCTGGGCTCTGCTTCCAGGTGATGGGGGATAGAACAAGGGGAAATGGCACCAAGCTGTGCCAAGGGAGGTTCAGGTTAGAGAGAAGGAGGAAGTTCTTTCCTGAGAGGGTCGTCAGGAGCTGGAACAGGCTGCCCAGGGAGGTGGTGGAGTCACCATCCCTGGATGTGTTTAAAGAGCGGGTAGACGAGGTACTTAGGGATATGGTTTAGGGGGCAGACAGGAGCGGTTGGACGTGATGATCTCAGAGGGCTTTTCCAACCGAGCCATTCTGTGATTTCTTCTGCAAGCCTGAACAACTGAAGGCCCCAAACGAACTGAGACTCAGTGCCACAAATGCAAACAGAGAAGTCAAAATGCCTTAATTCCACAGCCTTCACAACAAACTTAAGACAAGCGCTGCACCAGGCTCTTCCAGCCTAGCGACCTGTCATCAGAGGTCGGTAGCAGATGCGCAGGCAGAATCAGAAACGCAGACGCATTCAGCAACACTGGATAGAACCTTGCTCAGCTTTTATAATCTGAGGGCTCAGGCACCGGCTGACCAAGATACGACATCTTCTGCATTTAACAGCCTCCGATGCTCTTTCATCTATTCATTTGCCTAATGGTAAAATCTGACAAAAGCTCTTTGCGTCTACAAAACGTCTGGAGACATTTCTTCTGAGCGTGCCACCTGCTGGTTTCATGAGGTGAAAGGATGGACAAATCTTCTCCTCTTCCCCTTCTCCAGAACGCTCACGAGTTTAAAAAACTCTTAGCACACATCCCCACCTCTTCAACAGCTACCAAGCCTTAGTTAAGGGAAAGGCGCTCAAAACCCCTCTCGTCCTGTCTTTGCACTTCTTCATCTTTTCCAGTACTACTAAACACTCGGAGCAGAACTGAGAGCACTGAAAATACACACACGATGGGCCTGGAGAGACCGACCACGTTCTACAGTCCCCTCCTTTCCTGGCAGACTCTACCACGCAGTTTGCACATTAACATCTACCAAGCGTGAGATTTCTGACTTTGAGATCTCACTCCTGTAACTCCAAGATCCTGAACTACAGTCAGCTCAGTCTCCTACCGCGGAACAACTTCAGACCGAGTCCTCCCTCTCACACATCTCACTACCTCCACATAACACAGAGTTTGGTGAGGAAATTTAACCGCGCACTGACTCGGCAGCAAAAAAAAAATCTGCGCTGGAGAAGAGTCTGAAAAGGAAGATTTGTAGTCTAAAGAGGAGGGAAAGAAAAAACTGAGGGTCTCCACCAGAGGACTTTGATGAAAGATGCATGAAACGCTGTCAGAACCCCACATCTACCGAAGAGTTAGCACTGCCCCGTCCCAGGCTAACCTGCAGGGTGCAGGTGATGGACAGTTTCAGGCTCCTCTTCACGCTCATCCTGAAGGGAATCGTCATGAAAGGAGGCATCTTCGCTGCTGCCTTCCAGGCCGTTCCGCAAGGCTGCGCGCATGTTCAGAGCCACAATGGTATCGTCCACGCTGCTGGGGCGTTTGTGCGCTGTGTTCTCTGGGGTCTGTGGGATGGGCTTGGCAATGGGGTTGGTGTAAAACCTCGTCACCTCGTGATGATCCTCCTCCTCCTCTCGCTCACCATCTTGTCTGTGGCTTTCATCGGCAGGCACGGACAAAAAGAACCTGAAGAAATGAAGAATACAGTTGAATTATTTAGTTCCAATGTTGACATTAAAACTCTGGTGTCTTTTTCATATAAAAAGCAAACAGGAGCACCACAAGAAATGCAGAGTCAGTGGAGTGAGGGAAGCCATCATTCCCCTTCCCTCTGCCCTTGCTAGACAACCTCTGCCATTGTGCGTCTCACTGGGACTCCCACTACAAGACAGTGATTAGACTGGGAGAGAGGTACCATGGTGGTCGGGGGACTAAAGCAAAGACCTTCAGCAAAACGGGTTGCTCAGTCTGAAGAAAAGCCTTGCAAGGGAGAATTGTAACAGCAGCCTTCCAACATCGAAGACAAGACTCAGGCCCTATACAGACACCCACGGCAGAAGGATGAGAAACTGTGGTTAAATTAAAACGAGGAAATCAATGAGGACAGCCAAGCATTGGAACAGGGACACAGAGAGGCTGCAGAATCTCTGTCCACAGAGGTTTGAGACACCCAGCTGGCCAAACGCCACAACAACCAGGTCTGCATTCAGTGTTGAGGCTGCCTGAGGAACAGAGACCCCTTCCAAGGTCACCTCCCATCTGAAAGATTCCGTGATCTGCGAACCAGGCTGTTACAGACTTTTGTGCCCCAAATACACCCGAGTCTTGCAAGCACCAGGATCAAATCATCAAATCAACCTTGAGAATGCTACTGAGACAGTCACTCCAAATACCAGCTTCAGAGAGCTGCCTGTGTACCCGGCTGCTGGCAACACAGCCAAGCACCCCTGCCCCATGATGGGCAGCTCAAGTCAAGACTAAGGTGGTCATAAACGAGGCTCCCCATTCCCATAATTAGTAACTTCTGGTAGCTCTCAGTAAAATCTGAGTGTTGAGTTGATCAGGAATTCCTCCAGCCTCTGACTAAAAGAAAACTAAACCTAAACCAGAGATCCTCTGTAATACGGCCATGGATTTTTCCAGAAGTAGGTATTCTGGATTTTGAGAGGGAGAGAGCAAGAGGGAGAGAGAGACAGCCTTAGATATTCCTCATTTTGAAATGTCGAAAATACATTCCTAGTATGAGACATTTGGATCAGTGGAGCCTCCTTGCAATTCCCACATTACTGAGGGCTAAACAGACAGAGGCTCTTCTCACCTCAGGGTCAGGTTTGTTACATCCCTCAAGAATTGACCTGAATTCTTGCTACAGGGAATGAAGAGAGACATATCCAGAAAATCAGTCATTCCTCTTTGAAGTCCTCATTTTGGAGGGAATGAATTGGTATGTGACCACACAGGAAAAACTTCAACTAACCGTATAAGGAAATCGGTGTCACACAGGTCAAAATGCCTCCAATTAACACGTGAGATGACGTATCTGAAAATAACTACCTGTTCTACTAATAATAATCCAGACAGGCATAACCAGTTTGCACTTCTCATCAGTCGAGCATCTGCATGATGAATCAACGTACCTGTCTCCGTTCTCCGGGTACTCCGATGGAGAAGCCAGGTCCTCATTCTCACGATTAACAGGCGAGAACAAAGGGCTACAGTTGATATTCTTCAAAACCAACTTCTTGATGCTCTTCCTAAAAAAAACCAACACCAAAGATAAATTTTTGTATATCCACTGCATAAATATCTATTTCATGCTTCATTCACATGCTCCAGGAAACAGAAACCAGCTTTTTGAAGACCTGTTTCCACCCTCAGGACATACAAAGTCTTCTCTGAAGGCACTGCAGCAGTTGAGATACTCAAACGTTTTGGAATTCAACTCAAATCTTTGGTTTATAAGCACAAGCCACTGAAAGCTTAAACACCTGAGTTCAGTAAATCACAGTATTCTCTCTTTTACAGAACAGAGCTTTTCCTGCAGAAGCACAGAATCCTGCACAGAAAGTCTGGCCCACAAACGCAGGCTCTTTGTCACCACAGGAGCACTTCAGGGGCAAATCAACGGCCAGGCTGGGGGTTCAGTGCCTGCAGTGCAACCATCACTGAACGTTTATGACAATTGCTCAAAAATATCCCTTCATTCCGATCTTTAGATCATTATTTGGTGTTTTTCAATAACACACTGAGTAATTCCACACTCTGCTCTCTCCCAGGAAAGCAAACAGATGGTGCAGGCTAAATTAAAGACAAACCAAGCTCACAGAAGTTACAACATGTTATTAAAAAGCCTGTGCTTAGAGGGACTTTCAGTGACTGAGGCATCTTTCTTGCAAGTTTTGGTTCTGTTCTTTACCAAAACCTAAAGCTTCCCAAAGCCCTTTCCAATCTGATTGGCACTGCTGCTCTCGAAAACTGAACCCAAGAGCAGATCCACAGCATCAGCTTCATTTCTCACAGGAACACGTGCATCTGAAACAGAACCAGTGCTGGGCTACGGAAACGCCAGCAATCTGCCTTCATACTGCATTAGCGAACCTAGACCAGGAGCAGGAAGTATTGCACTGTACAAGCTTCCCTTGTAGTAATTCCTAAGTGACTTTAGAGTAGCTCTGCTCCAGTCACGGGATGACCTCATTTTACAGCTTAGTTGGCATTAGCAGTTTAAACTGAACATTTTTATCTCCTCTACAGAAAACAGTTCAAGTTTTACAGAAAATCTGTTATTACTACTCATATTTGAAGCGAGTCAAAAACCAGTCACAGAATTCAGGATGTTATACAGAAGTTCACTGGATCTGATGAGAAGATTCATACGATTCTATGATGAGAAGATTCTTACACCACCTCCTCCCTCCAACATACACAAAACAAAAACTCACCTTGGCATGAATGCACCATTGGATAGGGATGGTTCGTCATCATCCAGACCATCAAACAGATGGGATTTAGCGGAGCCAGACGACTGCAGAGCTTTTGGCCGCACTCTGGTCGCTGGACGTGGTGTCAGTTTGTAGTGGGTGGGAGTCGTCAAGGCCTTCTGAGCTGCTGGGTTAGTTGGTTTCAGCCTCTGGAACAAAAAGAGACAGGATTGGAATTTCCATACCACTGCTGTAAGAGTCTGTGGGCAGAGCGCTGGGTGCTGTGGGCAGAGCGCCCGCTTTCTTACGGCTCTCCAGTCAAGGACCTTTGAAATGCAAAGGGCGTAGTAAGTAAAGGGGAAGCAATAAACAAAACCCGAGACGCGAAGCTGGCTTACAATAGGTAAGGGAAGTGACACTGAGAGGAAAAGCCACGCTGAATGAGTCTGGGGAGTCAGACAGGGGTGTGGGCACGCTGTGCCAGCAGCTGGAGTGAGGGGAAGCCTCAGTGCCCAGAGCAGATGGGGGTCTCCACTCCAGCCCCTGGGATGCGATCAGTGTGTGTCTCAGCTGTAGCTACTGGGGGGGAGCGAAGGTCTCAGCAACATCCACTGCAACAAGCCCTGAGCTCACTGGTGCCTGGGTGACAGCTGCTGGCAGAGCAGAGCAGAGCACCTGCCCTGTCCCCACACCTTACATGTGGGGGTGTGCACGTGTAATTTTCTAGCAAGCTCCAAGCTCAACTGGCCCACGAGGATGGCGATGGGACAGGCAGAGGGATCACGCTGCTCTCCAGAGACCCGTGAGCACAGGGTGCCCAAGAGACGCGTGTATGAGTGCACGCAGCTTTCTGCAGCAAGCACCAAGCTGGACTGGCCTGCTCTGAGGAGCAGCTAAGAAGGCTCAAGAAGTGGGCAGGGCTATCAAGCAGACAGAGAGGCCCTGCTCATGGTAGAGGGATTCCACAAACGTGTGGGTGAGCCCAGAGAGCACGACCACATGTGCTTTCACTGGGGAACTCCAGCCCTCACCAGCCAAAGAGGAGGAAGGGCACTTGAAAGTGCTTGGTTTTTGTCTTTTAAAACAAACCAAGAGGGTACAGTTTGACAGAGACTGTCCTAAGGGATGCCACGAGCAAAACTCAAGCTAAGTGCTAAACCTATTTCAAGCACATAATTACTCAACTTTATTGTCACCTAGCAGCAGTGAGCATAACCAGAATCCCAAAGCCCAAGCTCTGGTGCAGTCAAGAGCAGTGCACAAAGATGCAGTATAAGTGGTTTGGTTCCTGGAGAGCACAAAAAGCCACCACACCGGTAGGAGCACACAGATGAGAACGTACTGTGCTGCTCACTGCGTAGTTAAGGGAAGATACTGAGCACAAAACCAATTAATTTCAAGTCTCTCCCAGGAAGTGAGTGTCATGTTTATGTGCACTTACCTCTTCTTTCTTCTTTGGGTCGGACATGGGGTTTCGGAACAGCGGAGAATCTCCAAAGGGCGAGTAAGCCAAGCTGTTGAGATGCTGCTGAAGGACTGCTTGCTGGGCAGCTGAGGCATTTGGGTCTGTCAGGGCTAGAGAAAGAACAGCTTGTGTTAGCATTTAAAGGTTTTACTAATAGAACACAGGGTAAGTAGAACAGACATCCTTCCCATCAGAGGACGTGCTCATGGGAATTCAAGTTTCTACACAAACTTCGGTGTTCTTGTCCCCTGCCCGCCAGCCACCATTTCTGCAGCTGTCTGGAGGAAGAAATCAGACTCTGTTCCTTCCTCGCATTTTACCAAGTACCTTTTAATCCGGGAAAAGCTGACAGCATGGAGAGCTACACAACTGGAGAACGAGCCCGGCCTGCCAAAACCTTTAACTAATACATCTGACTGAAGGGACTCCTGAAACATCTTTTAAGGAGAAAAATAAAAATCCGTGATGGAAACTTTTTATATTCTTGCTGCAAGATGTCTGGAGTCTGCTCTACACAAAGGCCTCTTAATTTTGTCTCTGCATCTTCTAGCATCTGATTTTAATCCCCACTAAAATACTCTAAGTGTTCACACTACCAAGTCTCTTGAGCAACCTAAAGCAGCTTAATTCTAATTGGAAGACAGCCAGATTGAATCTGTGCCTTCCAAAAGAAGACCACCACCGCTCTGAGGTGCCAGACAAAGAGTCAAGAGCAGCATTTGAGACAACTGGTTCTACCCAGATCACAAGCTGCTTTAACCAAGCAGACGTTCACCAGCAAGGCCCTTCCCAACACTGCCCTGCTGCAGGCACTGCCTACGGAAGTGAACCCTTGGGTCATCTGTGGGGTTACGTTGAGGGAGCTCCAAGCACAAGAAGTGCAGAAGCATCAGGTTAGCAAGACAGAATAGATATACTCTGACTGCAACACACTGATTAATATTTTATCACAACGAGGATGTAGCTTTCCCACCCCTTTTTACCTGTCATAACCAGTATATGAAGTTACTTTGCTGGGTGTTCTCAGAACAGGAGGCACCTCTGAAGATCACCACTTTTCTACCCACCTGCTCAAGCAGGGCAACTTGTGTCAGTTTGGGACACCCTCACAGTGAAAAGCATTTCCTGATGTTCAGAGGGACCCTCCTGTGTTCCAGTGTGTTCCCATGGCCTTTGGCCCTGGCACTGGGCACCACTGGGAAGAGCCAGGCTGCATCCTCTTTGCCCCCTCCCTGCAGGTATTGATGTCCATGGATGAGATCCCTCAGAGCCGTGTCTTCTCCAGGCTGAACAGCCCCAGCACTCCCAGCCTTTCCCCACAGCAGAGATGCTCCAGCCTCTTTGTGA